TAATAATGAATATTTTAACCAGCAAGAAGAGCAATAAGAAAATAAAGAACTGGAATAAAACTCAAAAACAATTAAATCTCAGAAATATCTAGTGCACACCATTCAGGAGCCAGAAAATAGGGGCTTTTCTCAATTTTACATGAAACATTCTCTAAGAGAGACCCATATGTGAGGCCAGGCTCAAGATATCGTGCAAGCCCAAAGTGCTCCAAAGCAACACCTCTGAGCACACGGCATAAACCCGGTGTACGGGTACCCGGAAGTTCCACCTTGAACTTGTAAGAGGTTATCTTCTCTAACCACATGTAATGACACTAGCTGTTACTAATACAAGAACGACTGGAAAACAAAAACCTATACTGAAACTAAACACATACTTGTAAACAACAAATAGACTAAGGAAAGGGCTCCTGGGCTCCTGGGCTCCAACCATCACTCATACATTGACAGAGCCGAAGAGTAAGGAGCCAAACACCAAGCAGCCAGGGTCCCAGGAGCCCAGAAGCCAGGAGCCCAGGAACCAACCACTTTGTGCAGGGGTGGATCAAGAAGGTCCTCTACTGGAGTGGGGTCTAGCGGTGAGAAGCGGGACCGGGAGTTCAGGGGTGAGGCCCAGGGTGTTGGTGGTCAGGGACATGGGGTATGGAGGACAAGAGGGGGGCTATCCCAAGGATTGGGGGTCGCAGACCTGGGTGAAGGGAGGCCCAGGAGCTTGGGTGTGGTTCCTTGGAGCAGTGGCCACGGTGGGAGATGAAGCCCTACTCCCTTTGCCCCCCATGTGCCCCAGAGGGCCAGGTCTCAGGGGCCCAGCCAGCATGCCCTCACCCTGTCTCCACCGGCTCCTTGCTGGGGTCGCGTATGGAACCCCACTCGGCCGCAGATGCAGCGACACTCACACTGTCATTACCTTCCCATTCCTCGGACAGGGGCAGTGTGCTGGGCACGGGCACAGCAGCCAGGGGCTCGCGGCTTGGCCAGTCCCGGACCCAGTGGTTGCGCGACAAGCTTGGGCCAGTGGAGGAGAGACGCACAGTGCTGCGAGCTTGTGAAGGATAAGGCTGAGCAGCCTGACTGGGTGTTGAGCATCGGATGTGAGGCTCTGAGCCTACAGCACAGCCAGTGCTCGTCTGTGAAGTCCAGGAGACCTGGCACAGCTCTGCCTGGAGGGTACCTTCCAGGAAGGCTGGGGAATCCAGGTCCTGCAGGTTAAGATGGCTCAGCAGTCCCAGGCCCCACACCAAGCTCAGTACAAGGAGCATCGAGGTCTTGGTTTTCACTTTGGTGCTAATGAAGTGCACCACCTTGAACAAGTCTCTTAACCTCCTCCTTTGATTTTCATATCCCTGATGGTACATTTCCCTGAGTTCTTTATATATTCTGGATATTCATCCTCTGTCCGAAGAGTAGCTGGCAAAGATTTTTTTTTACCATTCTCCACTGTTTATTGCTTCCTTTACTAAATTTTTAAAAAATTTGATGCAATTTCAATTATTTCTCACTATGACAAGTGTGCAGTCATTTCTAACCTCTCAATACCTGCGTTTCCTCATCAGTAAGATATAAATAACCATGTTACTTATATTGAAGGGTTGTGTAAAAGCCAATCTATACAAAGTAATTAACTAGTGCTCACCAAATGACCCACACTCAAAAAGTCTGAGGCAAGGAGGCAGCTGGTTTTATTCCTCAATTATGTGAAAAGTTACATAATATAAAGGCTCTAAAAGTGAATGAACAGGATTACCAAAACAGAACACAGTTCAGTTCTGCGACTCAGTTGGCCACATAAGCCAGTTCCATGAAGATGTTCCTCTTATCTCTGATTATACAGTTCGCCTGTCAGGGGACTCCTCCTTCACACCCCAGACTCAGACACCTACCTCACTTCTAGGATAATGTCGTTGTGCTCTAACAATGACCATCCATCACACACCCTGAGGGCCAGTATAAGCACAGCCGCCCAAATGGCAGGGGTAGTATTAATAGCAGATAGTTACACAGAGGCTACCATATACCAGGTCCTCATCTAAGTATTTTAATTTTTCAATCAATTATGAAACCTGTACTCAAGCCAATTACTTAAAGAAAAAAATCAGAAGCACTTTACCTCTGTCAATACATTTTTATTATTGTAATAACTCTATGAAGTAGGTACTATTATCCTCATTTTGTATATGAGGAAGCAGTAAGATATTGTAAAGTTGAGGAATTTGTCCAAGGTCTAAAACCAGATAGTAAGAGAGGCAAGTTTTATACAGAAGCAACATCTCCTCCTATGTTCCTGACCACTACACTTTCCTGCCCTTTGATCATTTATTATGGGTGCAGCTGGGGCAGAAGGGGTATTATGAATATATACATATATATATATGTGTATGTGTATTTCCACATCAAATAGTTATTAGTAGTATCTGAAGAAAGTATCATTCTCTACTTCACTTTCTGCCAACCCAAACAGTTATTTTTCTACCTTATCAACAAAGTTTGGGTCAGATACAAGCTGAGACCCCATAGATAAAATGCTCCCAGGTGGTCTTAATTTCTTTATTTTTAAATGCTTCCTTCATCACAAAAATCTGAGTAACATCACTAAATTCAGAAACAAAATCACACTGAAGAACATTTGTATTTTAAACATAGCAAAAAAAATTATGGGACACTTAAATTCTCACCTGTCTCATAATTTACTAACACTCCTAAGTAATTTATCAATGGGCTTGGTGATAATCTAACATACATCAAAATCACTGACTGAGACCCTATTCGTAAATCTAACAATAAACCAACTCTAACCCTAGCCATAACACTAACCCTAACATCACACTTAACTCTATACCTAACCATAATCCAAGTCCTTATCCCTAACCCCTAAAAAAAAACACTTAACCCTACCCAAAACTCTACCCTAACACTAACCCTAGCACTAACCATGGCCCTAGATCTAACACAAATCCTAATTAGAACACTTAGCCCTAATCCCAATACAAAATTAAACCCTAACCCTTAGATCCCTGAACCCTGATCCTAAGGCATAATCCTGACTCCTAGCCACAAGCCTAGAGACTCTTGACAATGACATCAAAACCCTAACCCTACTTGGAACCTAACCCCTAACCATAATCCTAGCACTAACCCAATCCCAAACCCAAATCCTTAACTCTAACCCTGAACTCCTAACACCAAACATAAACCCTAACACTGCTCCTAACCCTCAATCCTAACTCTCTTAAGATAATCCTAACCCCACCCTGTTATGGTTTGTGTCTGGGTGTCCCCCCAAAGCCTCATGCGGTCATGGGGCAGGCTTTTAGTTTGACTGATTATGGGTGTGAGAGCTCCACCTGCCCTGGGGTGGATAATTTGCATATGTAAGGGAGAGAAAGTGGCTGCTTGTGGCCATTCCTCCCTTTTGTGCTTGTTGCTTTGGCTGTATTCTGCCGCCATGAGCTGTAGCTCTCTGCCATATGCCACTCTGCCTTGTAACCTGCCAAGTACGGACTGAAACCTCCACAAACTGTAAGCAAAATAAACTTTTCCTTCCTTAACTTTGGGGCACCAGGTATTTTGTCCCAGCAACGAGAGAAAAGTAACCAAGACACACCCCTAAAGCTGAATCCAAGCCTAACCCCAACCCTGACCCCATCCTCATCCCAAACGCTAATCCCAACCCCACACCAACCCCAACCCTAACTCCTTAAACTAATTTAACTCTAAGCCCTAACCCCCTTTACCCCCTAATCCTCACCCTTAACTCTAATCCTTAACCCTAACCCCAACTCTTAATGCTTAATCTTAACCTCTTTCCTAACCCACACCCTCTATCCTGTTATCTTCACCTCCTAACTAACCTCTAACCCTAGAATTTTTTCTTTTCCATTTCTGAAAACTGCTGAACCATATATTCATGTTACCCAAACTCTTTCCTATAAAACAGCTTGTGATCCTGCCTGCACAAATCTGAAGTCTTGAAAAGAAAGAAAAAGAGCGAGAGAACGAAAGAAAAACACTGATATGATCCACCTTTTCACTTGTGGATCCTGTCTTTTAAATCGAGATACGTTCAACAGGCTTCAATTTGTGTCTCTTAGGTTGTTAACGCTCATCGGCCCACACAACTGTTCCTGATCAAACTATGATTTTTGTTTTTTTCTTAAATTTCATCAAGTTTAGGGGAAATCCCTCCCTCTTGGCATGAGCTCCCTACACACACACCTAAGCACACTGGCCTCCCTTTACCAAAATCTTTTAATGCAGTTTAGTTGGAACCCCGTCTTGAGGCCCTTTCTGAGGTTTCCTCCCCACATGACGCCATGGGGGACACGTCCCCCTTCTCCGTGTTGGGCGCCCTCATGCTGGGTGGTCCTGACTTACGTCTGTCCCTTAGACTGTGTCTACCAGTCGTTACCTAGCAACACTTGTTCACTCACTGTCTTTTCATCTGGGGGTCAGCTTTCTAAACGCAAAATCAGCACTGGGCCTGGGCCCAGGGGCCGCAACAGCGTGAGGCACAGCTTCTCCGTGTGCGCAGTTCCTGGGTTTTCGCCTCTGGGCACCCGTGTCTTTTCCCTTCAACCTTCACCTTACGTTTCTCGAGTAACATGAGCAGGTCACAGGTACCCACATCCTTGGACATTGCTGGGGCCGTCCGAGAGCGCCCGGCCTCGGCTCCTTCCCCAGAAGGCCACGTGCCGACCCTCGGCCCAGCGGGACACTAACTACCCCTAGACAGGTGGCCAGCTGCCCCGCCCCGCCGTCACAGGCCGGAAGTAGGAACGCATAGGGTCGACCAACACCAGGAGAGTTTCCTCCCTCCCATTCCGCAAACAGACAGTATCCTCCACTCGCTCTGATCAGCTGTTTCCTGCTTCCCGCCCATTCTTCCAGCGCCAAGCCCCTCACCCAGCCACCGACTTCCGGTTTAGCGCCCGACTCGGCCTCCTACCCGGCCTTCCGGTGCGGCGCTCGACTTCCGCCTTCCCATCTGGTCTCCTGGTAACGCGCTCTACTCCCGCCTTCCGGGCAGACGCGACTTCCGCATCCGACCCTGCAGTGCGCGGCGTCGGGTGCCCCGTGCGGTCATGGCAGTCGCTGGGCCCGGGTCCGTGGAGCTGGGCTTCGCCGAGGAGGCACCGGCGTGGCGGCTGCGCAGCGAGCAGTTCCCCAGCAAGGTGGGCGGGCGTCCGGCGTGGCTGAGCG